AATGAAAGCATTAGTTGATTTTTCTCTTGAGTTTTCCAAGTACATCTGGTTTCTTCTTCCCATCAGTAGATCCAGCAGCATGACTAAGGCCTCAAACTGTGGTACAAAATTTATTGTAATAACCAGGAAGCCCCAAAAAGGATTTCATCTTGTCTTGAAGAGTTCTCACATTTTAATAATTTACCCTTTGACTCAAGGAGAGATAATTTGTCTTCTTCCCACTTTATGACCTAAATTCATAAGCTCTGCCAATCAAACATACACCAAGGTTCCCTCATAGACAGACTCACTCTTTTGTTGTGCTCAAGTATTTCTGTATTCCCTTCTGGTGACAAATCCCATCCCAGCTCATACTAGAAATATAAGTTCTGTAGGTTATGGCAAGTAACTCATTCAGTGGGTTATTCTGAAATCTTTGGAAAGAGGCAGAGGCATGTAGGAACTAAAAGGGAAGGAGGAGTATAAATACATGTAAACAGATCTTGATTACAAAAGCTATTTGAGATTGGCCTCTTTAGATAATGTCATTGGCTAATATCTCTTGTATACAAGTTGGCAAGGAATCAAGTATTTATTATCTTTCTGAGTGTCTCATCTTCTCTGAATTCTCTTATGCATTCACTGTTGCTTACTTCCTTAATTTTCTTTTTTTCTTTCATTCAAAAGTTTTTTTTTTAAATAACTTTTATAAGTCCTTCTTTTTGAAACTCTCTTCTCCCTTGATGCAATGCCAACGTTTCAATCTGTTTCCTCCCAGTTCATCGCTACGGTCATCTCTCACTGATCAGTTTTCAGCCTCCTGCTTCTCACATTCATGGGTTCAGTCTTTGTCATGATCTTAACTATCACTTCTAAGCAGCTCCAAATCCATATTTAGAAGTTTGGCTCCTCATCCAGCCACACTAAAGTTGCGAACTGTTGAAAAGGAATTCCTACCCACAGGAACTGTAAATGATGTTTTTTCATCCATTACTCCATTGACACTTCACAACAGCCCTACTAAATGAGTAATTCCTATCCCCAATTTACCAATGATGAAACAGAAGCTCAGAGAGATTAAGCAACTTGTCTGACATCATGCAACTAGTGAGTAGCATATTGAAGATTTAAAGCCACCTCTGGTTGAGTACATTGCTTGTTCTCTCTACTACTTCTCATTACCTTCTTCACCAAAATGTTGGCTTTCATCACATCAGTGAAGGAGAAAAGAGTCCTAGGTGCATCCTAGGAAAAACATTAGGCTAACTGGTTGGGCATTATGGGATGTAGTAGAAAATGTGAGGAAAGTTAAAGCTCTGATGTGTCATCTTCTCCCCATCTCCACATTCAGATCCGCCTTATAGGCAGTCCAAATAATGAGTAGCCAGTTTAGTAGAATGTGGAAGATGCTGGACAGACCCACTTTCCTTTATAATATCTTTCCAATGCCCTCCCTGTCTTCACTGTTCTTAAAAAGTGCCCTCGGGTCTTTAGGTTTCTTGGGTTTCCTGTGGCCTCTTAACACAGAAATATGCCCAGGAACAGAAACGTTAAACTGAATTACTTACATGTAACTATTCAGCAAATATTTATGAAGCACCATTTATTAAACAAATGAGATGATATAATAAAAACCATTCATATTTGTTTAGCTGTCTAGATTTGCAGAGACGTACCACAATCTGAAGTACTTAAAGCTGAGATTATGATCCTCATTTTACAAGTGATGAAATTATGGCTCAAAGAGTCTGAATGACTCACCCAAGTGACAAACCTAAGCCCTACGTTCATAACTAGGGCTCAGACTTGGCTCTTCTGATTTTCGGTCCTATGCTCTTTCCTTTCTATCACAGCAACTCAAGGAATTTATAGGAGGGAATGCAAAACAAACATAAAGAGTCAAGTAGCAATAATAGTATAATTTCAAAAGAAAATAAAAGTGCCAAGTGACTGATATAAACAGTAATTATTGCAGGAGTGACCAGGAAGGTCACTATGGGCAAGAGTCACCAGAGAAAGCCTAAAAGAGGAAGTGGAGCTTGATCCTGGCTTTGGAAACTAGGTAAGAAAAGGACAGTGAGAGAAGAAAGGGAGGGCATTCTGGGGCAGGGGAAAGGAAGACTAAAGGTGCAGAGCTGAGAAAGTGCAAGTCTTATTTGGAGAAAGAATAGGGAGCTCAAATTAGCTGGAGAAGAAAGATTTGTATTGGGGAGGAATGGAAAATAAGACTGAAAAAGCTCTCTTTCATTTCTGACTAAAGGATTTAAATTTGTCTTGTAGACAATAGGGAACAATGAGAGAGTTTTATGTAAGAGAGTGAAACTGTGAAAGCAGTGTTAAGGCTGATTAATCTGGCAGTATGCATTATATAGGATGCATTTGTGTGAGAAGACACTGGAGGTAAGAAAGACCAGTTTGGAGGCTGTATCAGTCAGTTAGGGATAAGGTGACAAGAGTCAGTATTCGAATGGTAGTACTGGGATCATAAAGGAAGGCCAATTGACATGATAACTAAAGAAATGCCAGAATCTCATGAAATAAAAAGAGAAGAATTGAAGTTACCTGAGCATTTTTGAGCCTAGGTGACTTGAGGAAAAATGATGCCATGAAAAGAAGTGAAGACAGATAAGGAAACTGGTTTAGAGAGCTTAGTTTTTGTTTGTTTTTTAATGTTTATTTTTGAGAGAGACAAAGACAGAATGAGAGTGGGTTAGGGGCAGAGGAGAGAGGGAGACATAGAATCTGAAGCAGGCTCCAGGCTCCTAGCTGTCAGCACAGAGCCCAACGTGGGTCTCAAACTCACAAACTGAGATTATGACCTGAGCCGAAGTCAGACACTCAACTGACTGAGCCACCCAGGCACCCAAGAGAGTTTAGTTTTTGACATCTTGGGTTGGAAGTAACAATGGAAGATCCGAGTGAAACTGTCCAGGAGGTAATTAAATATATAGAGGTGAAACTTGGGAGGAAGGACAGTTTAGACCTGAGTTGGCATGGTGTAATGGAAGGAGATCTGGGAGTCATGGGTCTTGGGGGCTAGGCCTAGTTCCTGCTCTGCCACTAATTTACTAAGTAATAGGCAAGTCATATCTTTGGGCCTGTTCCCTGCTTTGTAAGGTGACAGGTTACCTAGGCCCTAGAATATTTCCAAAGTATTCTCAAGGACTCTAAGTCAACTGACTTGTATTCGTGTGTGCATATATTCTCTCCAACAGAAAATCAAGGGTCAAGATGGTAAGAGGGGGAATGGATTAAATAGTCCCCAAATGCTATGACTATGACAGATCTTGAAACTCTGTTTACTTAGGGAGTAAAAGAGGAGAAGCCAGCAAAGGGAGAGGAAGTAGTAAGATGAGTAAAAGTGGGAGGAGAGAAATTTAAAGCAACATGATAAAATAAGGAACTAAAATTAAAAGTAAAAATTATAATAAATGGAAGAAATGTTTATATCAAATGTGACAAAAGGTTAACATGTATGTTTTTTCAAGTTTTTTTAATGTTTATTTTTGAGAGAGAGAGAGAGAACATGAGTGGGAGAAGGGGAGAGAGAGAGAGAATGAGAATCTGAAACAGGCTCCAAGCTCTGAGCTGTCAGCAGAGAGCCTGAATGGGGGCTCGAACTCGGAACAGCAAGATCATGACCTGAACCGAAGTCTGAAACTTAACTGACTGAGCCACCCAGGCACCCCTAACATGTATGTTAAAGAATGCATTTAGATATATAAGATCATCAGTGTGTATAAGACCATTAATGCCAATTGGTGAAGGATATGAACAGAGAGTTCACACAAGAGGAAATGCAAATAGTAAACATATGTAAAGTGTTCTATCCCATGAGTAATAAAAAAAGGTGAAGTTAACAATTTAATGTTTAAGCCATCCAAAAAGATTTCTTATAAAGTCCAATGCTACAGCTGCAAGGGAGACGGAACACTCACATGCCATTGTGACATTGAAAATTTGTGCAGTCTTTTTGAAAATCAAGATCCAGTGCTCACCTTGGCAGCACATATACTAAAATTGGAATGAAAATCAAGATCCATAAAAATATTCATGCTCTTTGATCTGGTAAGCCCACTCCTGAGAACTTGTCCTAGAAACACTACAAGTTTTCTTCTTGCAAAGAAGAAAAAAGCTATATCCATTAAGATGTTCAAAGCACAGAAAAATTATCCCCCTGATAATAGGGGAATAGTCAAATAAAATACAATCTACTAATGGATGTAATTTTATGTGGCTATTGAAATGATAAACATGAAAGACTGTAGTACAAGGACAGTATTTAAAATAAAAAATTTTAAAGCAAAATTTTAAAATATATGCACACTATGCTTACATTTATATAAAATATAAGTATATATTATGCAAACTGAAAAAGCATGGAACATAGATAAATGAAAATAATTGTCTAGGGTTTGGAAGTATAGATGAATATTTTCTTTCAAAATTTTCTTTAATGTTGTCATAGTGGAATTTTTTAATTGTTTTCATTAAGCTTTTAAACAGGATATGCAAGAGGATAAAGTGAAGTAGAGATAGTCAAAGAGGAATATAGAGGAGAGATCATTAAAGATCTTGCTTATGAAGTAATTTGTGTTCTTCCAGGTACAGAAGGAAACCAGGTTCAGAGAGTTAAGGGGTGACTTTATAATGATATGTACGGTACTCTTTCTAGAAATCTGACAGTGAAATGAATAAGATGAGTAGAATGTTAGTTACAAGAAACAGCATGGCCAGGGTATGGGTGATAATGCTTTATTGTTGTTTGGTTGCGTTTGTCATGTGTGGTCTTTAAAAAATGTGTATTTAATTAGAGAGAGAGAGAGAGAGAGAGAGAGAGAGAGAGAGAGAGAGAGAGAATCCCAAGCAGGCTCCACACTGTCAGCACAAAGCCTGATGTGGGCCTTGATCTCATGAATTGCAAGATCATGACTTGAGCTGAAACCAAGAGTTGGATGCTCAACCGACTGAGCTACACAGGTGCCCCTGTTGTGTGTGTGTTTTTTAAAAGATGGGATGAAATCAGTTATGGAAAGACTAAAAGTGATGAAAAGAGATAAACAAAAGAAAAAGTAAGAGAGCCACCTCTTATGTGGGGTCTACAGGGAAGAAAGGGAGAAAGGCAAGATGGATATAAAAGTAGAGTTATCATGAATGAAGCAGAAAGAAGTTAAGGTATTAGATCTTCTCAGTTTCATTAGAAGCAAGGTAACTCTTAGAAGGTCATAGGGTAGGACGAAATTGGAGCCTTGAGAAGGTGGAAAATACAAGAAACACTTGCTCTGGGATTTTCACTAGGAATTCAGCAGGCTAACAAAAATGGGGGTTTAGATGAAGTTCCAAGACATAAAGTTTCAGTGGGTCAAAACAGCCACTGGCTTCATCTGCAATCTCCTCCAGTATAGGAGAGAGGAGAAAAGTGACCCAAGGTGAAAATGTGTTTAACTAGAGTATAAGGGAAGACAGCCTGAAAGTAGCAGACCACAAAGTCTGGGCAGTTAGTCTTGATAAAACATATGGGAATTAAATGGACTGGAGAAATGGAGGAGACTGGGTTGTTGTGATAGAGAAAGCAGCTTTACTTGGTGGAGTCAGTGGATAGGAGAGGTGATGGGCAAGGAGGGTATGGTCATAGGAATAAAAGAAAGAGTACAGATGAAAAACGAGATATGTAACAGTCTAGGCAGCGGCCATGAGACAGCAAAACTAGTAAAGAAAAGGCCAGTCCATTTACTCCTAATGGAAAGAGTCATGGGTAGCAGGCAGAAAGAGGGAACACGTGGAAGGATGCAAAGGGAGACTCAGGGGCATTGAAGTCATTTTTTTCTGAAGACTAGCCTCAGACTTACTCCCCATAGAGACCCCTTAGACAAGTAAGAGATCCGATACAGGTCAGCAATAGTGGGGCAAAAGAAAAGTCCGGCTGGAGACTCAGAGGACCAGTGGGCTAGAAGGCAATTTCAGAGTGGGGGTGCCTAGAAGTGTGAGCCCTCCTTTCTTATGAATGGCTGCCTAGACACTCTTATTTCCTGAGGTTTGGGGGTTAGCTGCCCAAGTTCTGTACCCACCCCCCAACTCCTGTAAGCCCATAAGCACCAAGATGGTGCTAGGGGGGAATAACTGGATGGGAGACTCTGAAGGGAGCTGTCCTAGTCCCCATGCTCTGCCCTGGCAGTGAAGCCTTAAAGCCTGATATGAAAGAGTTGGTGACAGATTTATTATTCACCTAGGGCAGGAGCTAGAGAAAGGGGAGAAACCAGTGAAGAGCCAGCTCTGGGCGTCAATCCTGCCACCACCCCAAACTCTGCACAAACCTGCTCTACCTCTTCATGCTGGAAGTTACAGTCACAAATATGAGAGCTTCCCCATCTCTTTCTAAGCCATCCTCTGTACTTTTCATTAAGTACAGGATAACAGTCAAATATGCTCTCAGCAAACATCATAAAGGAGGTCCTGTTCCAAAGGCTGTCATCGACTTGGGCCCTGCCCCTTGAGGCAAGATACCCACCCCATGGTAAAACTCAGGTCTCCCTCTCTGCCTTGTGGCTATATACCAGTTCAACAGTGCCATGCCTCCAGCTGCATGTGGGGACTCCGACATGCAGGTTGCCTGAGATTGAGCCCTATCTCAACACTTCAGTAGGCAAGACTATGCTGTCTTTCAGAGGAAACCAGGAAGTGGGTGTGGGCACTACATATGTCACATCCTTGGCATCTGTGATATGCTGGCGCCCCCACCTCCTGATTCTGGCTATCACCATCAGATAAATCAGACCAATCCTGAGGTTATCCCACTTCTCCACCTCTTCAGTCTAATGCTCTGGTCTGGTTGAAGGAACACATGCTATACAAATATATTTGGGAAAAGGGAGGAGGCAAGAGGACTGGGTGAGATTTTTAGGAAGCCTTGTATGATCAAGAGATGGGACCAATGGACACAGGAAGGAGACAGAAACAAAGGAAAGAAGAGTGGCTGTTATTGTCTTTGGCTAAAAAGGAGAGGGCGGCTAAAGGGTTTATGAGAGATGGAGTCACACATGATTTCCCTGGTTCCTCTCCATCCTCAGGGTGTTGGCCTCTCCAGAACCTGGAAAAGAGGAAGAAGCAGCCATATTGGGTGTAACTGTTGAGTTCCCTCACCTCTGCCCTGCACTCATCCTTTTTTCTTTTACTTTCTGGCTCCCAGTGTTACAGTCTATTTGCCCCAGAGGTAGGGAAGCCACTGTCCCAGTGGGTGGATGTCCACCTGCAGCTGTTATCCTCAGGCAGGGACACCAGCGCCAGGGAGGAGGCAGGCATGCGGGGCTGGAGCCCACCACTACTGCAGAGGTGCTGGAGTTGACGGCGATACTTGTCCCCAGTGAGCAGGTAGAGCACAGGATCCAGGCAGCTGTTGGCACTGGCCAGAGGCCGAGTCACTTTGTAGACCACATTGACAATGTTCAGCACGCGGCAGTCAGCTTCCAGCAGCCTTGACATGTAATAAATAGTGCGGGTGATGTGGAAAGGTACAAAGCAGACAGCAAAGACAGTCAGCACCACAGTGATGGTGCAGAGAGAGCACAGATGAGAAGATGACTGGGCAGTCCCTGGCAAGGGCCGATACAGGCGCCTGGCCATGAGCCCATAGCAGACAAGAGTGACCAGGCAGGGCACACCAAAGAGAAGCCCCATGATTGCTGAACTGAAGTGCACATAGTGGTCAAACTCCTCAGGCCAAGTGGTGTCATGACACAGGATGGTGTCCCCCTTGGGGCTGGTTGTGACAAACAACAGGTTGGGCACAAGGCAGCCAGCTATAACCAACCAAACTGCCAGGCAGAGAAGGCCTGAGAAGCGAGGCTGGCCCCAGCGGAGTGCCCGCAGTGGGTGGCAGATGCCCAGGTAGCGGTGCACACTGATGCAGGTGAGGAAAAGGACACTGCAGTAGAGATTCCAATAGAAGAGAAAGCTGATGAACTTGCAGAGCCAAGTACCAAAGGGCCAGTGGTTGTGGGCTGCATAATAGTAGACGAGGGTGGGTAGTGACAGCACATACAAAGTGTCTGATAAGGCCAAGTGGAACATGTAGGTGACCGTTGCATCCCGTGGTCGAAGGTGAAAGAGGAAGAGCCAGAGGGCCGGGGCATTGAGACCTAGGCCCAACACAAAGACAACTGTGTAGCTCACAGGCAGCAGGACGAACTTGAACTCCTCATCAAACCAGCAGTTCAGCTCTACCTCACTGTCACCAGGATCCGGGCTGGGGACTAGGGTTGTGAGCAGAGGGGACTCTGCACTGGCCATGGTCCCCCTAGAGGTAGAAAGGGAAGAAGTGAGGGTGGCTGGATTTCCTGGCCTCCCAGCTCTGCCCTGAGGCTGGAAAGCAGAGAACAAGAAGGGCCATGATTGAAGCATTAGGGGTAGCAAGAGGAGTACATCTGGGTGCACCCAGGCTAGCCTGGCCTCTGCCCAAGCCCCCTTGGTCCAGCCTGGAGTGGTGGGCAGCAGGCAGTGCTGGGCCTCGTAGGGCAGGCAGTGAGCTTGGGTTGTTCTCATTCTGCAGCTGACTCTGTCCTCCAGATCTTGGCTAGCTGAAGGGGTGGAGGGCTAGCAGGACTGTCCAATGTGGGAAGATGCCCAGACCCAAGTTGTGTCCTAGCCCATTACAACATTTCTCCCCATGGTGCCATGACCTTTCCCCTCACCCTGCTCCCAGTGTCTCCACACAACAGTTACTTCTGACACCTTCCCCCAGCCTGGTCCAGCCCAGGTACCCCATCGCCACCCTCACCCAAGAAACTTGGCATGTCTCCTACTTGGTCCCCTTGAAGCTGAGCCCAGTTGATTCTGTCACCTTTCCCCTTGGCAGCCAGAGGGCTATCCAAGAGGGTGGGTTTGGGGGTGGAGCCTGTCCTTCGTCCTGTCCCGGGAGATTGTCAGAGCTAGAAAGGCCCATCGAGATTATCTAGTCCAACCCACTCACTGTACAGATTGGGAAACTGGGGCCCAGCAAGATTACTATTTAACAGTTTCTAAATGACTATAAGAGGGAGTACACAAGGAAACATCCAAGTTTATAGATGAAGAGCCAGGCCACAGGAGATGACTACAACTACAGGGAAATCATATCAATCAGTGTAAGTGAGGAGAAACATGGGAAATGAATGAATGTTAACGTGGGCAAATGCAAGATAACACACGAAAAGATTCGGGAAAATCTATACTACTGATATAAATCTTAACTCCAGGTGCATACAATTATAAACACTGCTTCTATAGCACTTACCATGTGCAAGACACTATTCTAAGTGCTTTACACTTATTGATGGCCCAACAAGTTCTCTATAAAAGAGGTACTATTATTGTGCTGATGAGGAGACTAAGGCAAGGAGAATGTATCCTGCTACTTAGGGGGAGAGTCATGATTTGAACCAGGCTCTAGCATCCTGGTACTTAATTGCTATGCTTAGTTGCCTCTCTAAAGCCAGTGCCCATAATCCAGCAAAGCGATAAACAAATGTTTACCGAGACCCTACTGTGTGCTTGGTCCAGATCTAGGTACTGGCAGTTCACTAGTAGTGAATAAAACAGAGAAAGACTCTGACTGTAATGGAACTCCCATACTAGTGGGAGGGAAAAGAAAATAAAATTAACAAGTAAAATATATAGATTGTAATCATTGCTATAGAGAAAAATAAAGGCAGGAAGGGGAATAGAGAAGAAAAGACATGGGGAATAGAGAAGGTTGCTGCTTTAAATATTAGGGCTACTTTGAATAAAGACCAGGTGGTTGTGAGGAAGGGGACATGTAGAGATGAGGTCAGAGAGTGTGGCAGGGACCAGATCATGAAGGTTCTTGCAAACCATTGTGAAGGCTACTGGGCTTTTACTTTCAGTGAATGGGAAGCCATTTGAAGGTTTAGAAGAGATAAGTGTTGGGGTCTGATTTATATAGAATTTTTTTAAGTTTATTTATTTATTTTGAGAGACAGAGAGCATGTGTGCACATGCAAGCAGGAGAGGGGCAGAGAGAGAAGGAGAGAAAGAATCCCAAACAGGCTCCTCTGTAAGCACAGAGCCCTATGCGGGGCTCAAACTCACAAACCGTGAGACCATGACTTGAGCCAAAATCAGGTGAACCGACTGAGCCACCCAGGTACCCTCTGACTAGATTTTGAAAGTAGAGACAAGATTTACTGATGTGGGGTGTGAGAGAAAGAGAGGAGTCAAGAATGACTCCAAGATTTCTGACCTGAGCAACTGGAGGAATGGAGTTACTGTAGACAGAGATGGGAAGAGCTATGAGAGAAGCAGGTTTGGGGAAAGACTGGGGGTTCATTTTTCAGCCTGTCAATTTCAAGACACCTATTGCACACATAAGAGGAGGTGGAGAGGAGGCAGTTCACTTCTCTCCAAGGATGCTAGCTGACAGGCCTCCCTCACAGGCTCCACCCCTTCCTACACATCACCTCTCATCTCTATCACTCCAGGAGACCCTGGTCTGAATACAACAGAGAAAGTATAGAAACCAAGCCTAGTTGGCTGAAGGTTAAGTGCCTGAGAATGCCAACTTGTCAGGAGCTCTGGATCTGGGACCCCTGGGGCTAACTAAGGTTCCAGGATTATGGGGTTCTTAGGCACAGGGGCAAGCTTCAGGGCTGGTGGACTCAGAAGATGAGGTGAGTAGTGAGTGCTCTTGGGGAGGGGGGTGCAGTCTGGAGCAGAATCCACTCTGAAGGGAACTGGAAGCAATGTGGACTTTGAACCTGATCTTCAGGTCCTGAGAATGTTGCCGAGATGGATACTGGGAGTGAGAGGAGGAGGCAGGCCTGCAAGGGAGGCTCTAGAATCTAGGATCTAGATCTCCTGGAGGCCCAGAAATCTGGATAGGGGAAACTTGGAGATCTTTGCCCTGTGGCAGGGTGGGGGTAGATAAAAGGGAGGCATGGAGGAACAAGCAGTCATAGCTTGAGTCCTGGACAGCTGACTGCTGTGATATTGTGGAAAAGGCCCAGGTGTTTGGAGCCAGACTGACATGAATTCAAATCCTTGTTTCTCCACGTAGTTGTGTGATGCTGGACACCTCTTTGTAACTTAGTTTTCTCACCAGTGAAATGGGGATAATGCCACCAACTTATTACGGTTTCCTGAATATCGAATGGGTCAATAGGTGTGAAAACACTTCATAAAGCATGAAATGTTTCTCATCATACAGTATTTTGTATTATTACTTTGCTCCTAGGAATGAAGCTGATCTCTTCAGAGGAGAATAAGTGTGATTTGAGGCTTGGCATACACCCAGGGGGCCACTCCAGCGTCCTCTACACTAGAGAAGCCCCAACCTGAGCCAGCTTGCTGCTTTTCCTGCTTCAAGCTGGTTTAGCTCAGCTAGGTTTCTGCTAGTCCCTAGACACAGCTGCCGCCCAGTGGCTACTTCAGGAAAAGACCTCCCCCAACATCACCTGGGCCAAAAGGAATGATTTGTGCCTTATGAAATGCTGCAGGCTACACCTGCAGTCTTCTGACACTCCCTCTCACTTTTGTTTCTGTGACTTTGCATTACTCTGATTCTCCTAAGTCCTCTGGATGTCCCTTCTGACTTCTTCCCTGGCTCTTTTTTTTTCCTCCTTCCTCCATATGTGACCCTTCCCCTACAGCTTTTTCTCTCTTCCTACAGCTTTTTCTCTCTTCTCCTCTCCCTCTTTCTCTTCTCCTTTCTCTCCTCACTCTACCATTTCTCTCTCCCTCTCTCCCTCTTTCTCTCAACATCCACTCTCATGATTTAACTTAGAACTTATGAATAATTGGGGCACCTGGGTGGCTCAGTCGGTTAAGCATATGACTTCCGCTCAGGTCATGATCTCACAGTTCGTGAGCTCAAGTCCCATATCGGGTGAGCTGAAGCCCCGTTTTAGATGAGCCCCGTTTCTCTCTCTCTCTCTCCCACTCTCTCTGCCCTTCACTCACTTGTGCCCTCCCTCTCTCAAAAAAAGCATAATAATTAATAATGACCAATAAGACTACAGCATGCAGGGGCGCCTGGGTGGCGCAGTCGGTTAAGCGTCCGACTTCAGCCAGGTCACGATCTCGCGGTCCGTGAGTTCGAGCCCCGCGTCGGGCTCTGGGCTGATGGCTCAGAGCCTGGAGCCTGTTTCCGATTCTGTGTCTCCCTCTCTCTCTCTGCCCCTCCCCCGTTCATGCTCTGTCTCTCTCTGTCCCAAAAATAAACGTTGAAAAAAAAAAAAAGACTACAGCATGCAGATCTCTAATCAAAATTTATGTCTCTCTCACACTCATACCACATTTGATTTCTACTGAGATTATGGCACATACCACAAACTGCATAGAATTGTACTCATTTGTATTTTTGTCCATCTCCTCATTCTCCCACCCTCACATCAGACCCAGAGCTCCTTGAGGAAAAGCTCCTGGTTTTACCTCTGTCTTTACCGCAGCCTTCCCAGTAAAGTTATAATAACGTATGTTCCAGGGGTGCCTGGGGGGCTCAGTCGGTTAAGCATCCAACTCTTGATCTCACGGTTCATGGGCTTGAGCCCCAAGTTGTACTCCATGCTGACAGCGCAGAGCCTGCTTGGGATTCTCTCTCTGCCTCCCCCGACTTCTCAAAATCTCAAAATAAATAAATAAACTTAAAAAAAAAACATATATTCCAGGCATTTTTTTTCCAAATTATACATCTTGTCTATAAAACTGCCTTCCAATTCAGAGTTAAGGAAACAGATACCTTCCACACAGTAGGTGTGTAATAAATGTTTATTGAATGAATGATTCAGTTATACTTTGTTGAACTGAATGGTTCCCACAGCTATAATCTAAGCCCTGTATATATTGTTTGCTCTAGGACATACCCACTTGGGTACCTAATTGATAATCTAGAATTTAGCATGTCAGGCAAAGTTTTTTCTTTCCTACTGATATCCTTCTGTTCCCCTATTCCTCCAGTCTTTTCCAGTCCTCCTCCTCTTGGCCCCTCACATCTAATATTCATGCCTTGATGACAGTTTCTCTGCAATGCTTCCTGTTGCCTTAGGGCCTAAAGAGGGAAAAGTACTGTTTCTAATCTTTTCATCTGAGTAGGGGTAGGGTGGGGAGGAAGAAGGAAGGAGATGGAGGGAGAAGGAACAGAGGAAGGAAATAAGGACAGAAGGAAAGAAATGAAGGAGAAAAAGTAAGTGAAATACAGGAGAAAATGCAGGTTTTGGAGTCAGACCTAGAGTTTAACTCTGGCTCCATCACCCACTAGCTATATGACTGTAGGTAAGTTTTCCTGAACCTCCATTTCCTCATACGTAGAATGAAGTTATGAGCACCTATCTGGTTGTGTGAAGAAAATGAGACAGTGTCTGGCAATTATCATCCTCTTTATCATTAGGAATTAAAACATAGGTGAATTTGGAGGGTGTGGGAGATTGGAAAGTTCACCCCAGTTGCCTGGGTTTTCTTTATGAAGTGAAATAATGAGGTCACCTAATGAGAATAAGGTGCAGTGTGGAGTGGGACAAGACAGTCACTCAACCTTGATGGAAAGGAACTGTAATCTGAAACCCTGAATAATCCAAAGTTATTAATAAAATCATGGGAAAATGACTGGCTCCATATAATTGTGCCCAAGTTAGCCTTGTCCAGGTGTCTTTCCTGTAGTATGCCCTTTTAGTCTTTCTAAATGTCTGTTCTTTACCTCCAGCAAGGCTATTAAAAGCTTTAGAGAAGAGGGGTGCCTGGGTGGTTCAGTTGGTTAAGTGTCAGACTCTTGGTTTTAGCTCAGGTCATGGTCTCACAGGTTTGTGAGATTGAGCCCCCCATCAGACTCTGTGCTGACAGCAAAGAGCTTGCTTGGGATTCTCTTTGTCCCTTTCTCTCTGCCTCTCTCCTGCTTGCATGCTCTCTCTCCCAAAATAAATGAATAAACTTTTTAAAAAATTTTTTAATGTTTATCTATTCTTGAGAGAAAGGGAGAGACAGACAGAGCATGAGCAGGGGAGGGGCAGAGCGAGAGAGGGACACAGAATCCAAAGCAGACTCCAGGCTCTAAGCTGTTGGCACAGAGCCCAATGCAGGGCTTGAACTCATGAGCCGTGAGATCATGACCTGAGCCAAAGTCAGACGCTTAACCGACTAAGCTACCCAGGCACCCCGAATAAACATTTTTTTAAACAAATCTTTAGAGTAGAGGCTAGTACCGCTGTGTCCAGCACCTAAGACAGCACAGGAAGTCTCTGTTCCTACCATTTGATTCATCTGTTTCCTTTCTATCCTCTCCCAATGTCACTGCCATTGTGCAGATCCCATTTAAGTCTGCTGGTATATACTTTCAATTGAAAGAACAGAAAATTACAACTCAGCTGATTTTAAAAGGAGGAAATTTATTATCTTGCATCTAAATCCAGGAGTGGGCAGCTTTGGAGTTGCCTAATTCAACAGCTCAACAATGTCATAAAAAAATCCTGACTCTAGGGGCGACTAGGTGGCTCAGTGGATTAAGCATCTGACTTCAGCTCAGGTCATGATCTCACAGTTTGTGAGTTCAAGCCCCGCATTGGGCTCTGTGTTGACAGCTCAGAACCTGGAGCCTGTTTCGGATTCTGTGTGTGTCTCTCTCTCTCTGCCCCTCCCCCCTCATGTTCTGTCTGTCTCTCTCTCTCAAAAACTAAATAAGCATTAAAAAAAATACTGATTCTTTCCATCTTTCTGATCTACAACCCCTCAGCATGTTTGTTTAGCAACTCTCATGGTCACCAGATGGCTGTTACACTTCAGGCATTGTATCCAAACATGGCAATGTTCAATGGTAGGAGAGGAAGGCCTCTCTTCCTGTGTGTTTACTGCTATTACTCAGGAAACCTTTCTCAGAACTTCCCTAGCACACTTCCTTTCACATCTCAGTGGCCTGAATTACATCGTGCCTATAACTAAACCAGTCACTAGCAGGGGGGATGAAAT